GTGTGACAAGGTTGTATTCTTTCACCATACTTATTCAACCTGTATGCTGAGCAAATAATCTAAGAAGCTGGGTTCTATGAGGAAACACGTAGCATCAGGATTGGAGGAAAACTCATTAACAACCTGCGATATACAGATAATACAGCCTTGCTTGCTGAAAGTGAAGAGGACTTAAAACATTTACTGATGCAGATCAAAGACCACAGTCTTCGGTATAGATTACATCTCAATGTAAAGAAAATAAAAATCCTCACCACTGGACCAATAAACAACATTCTTATCAATGGAGAAAAGATAGAAATAGTCAAGGACTTCGTTCTTCTTGAACCAACTATCACCACTCATGGAAGTAGCAGTCAAGAAATCAAATGACGTATTGCATTAGGCAAATCTGCTGTGCAAGACATTTTTAAAGTACTGAAGACAAAGATGTCAGCTTGAGAACGAAGGTGTGCCTGACCATGGTGTTTCAAATAACCTCATATGCATGTGAAAGCTGGACAGTGAATAAGGAATACCATAGAACTGGTGCTTCTGAGTTACAGTGTTCGAGGAGAATATTGAAAGTGCCATGGGGTACCAAGAGTACTAACAGATCTGTGTTGGAAAAAGTGCAGCCGGAGTGCTCCTTGGAGGCCAGGATGGCCAAACTTTGTCACTCATAATCTAATATATTGTTAGGAGCAACAAATTGCTGGAAAAGGATATCAGGTTTAGTAGAGTGGAGGGTCAGAGAAAATGAGGAAGACCCCCAGCAAGATGGACTGGCAAAATGGCAGCATCAATGGGCTCAAGCGTGGCAACAACTGTGAGGTTGGCCCAGGACCGGGCAGCGTTTCATTCTGTTATGGATAGGGTCGCTATGAGTTGGTACTGACTTAATGGCACCTAACAACAAGAACAACAATCCTGGCTCATTAATATATAGAGATCAGGCTCACAAAATGCAAAAACAAAAACAAAAAAATTATGTCAGATCACAAAATGGTGGATTATTACACAATACTGAGAATCATGGCCTAGCAAAGTTGACACAATTCAGTCTCTGACAACACACCATAAAATTCACCTGTGGAAATCACTTCTTTTCATTGATGAAGAATACTTCACTGTATAACTATTACAAAGAAGGCTACAAAAATCTTAATGTATATATAAGTTTTCATATGGACGTTTTCTTTTCCCTTAGATATATACTTGTTGTTGTTAAGTGCCGTCGAGTCGGTTCCGACCCACAGCGACCCTGAACAGGGTTTCCAAGGCTGTAATCTTTACGGGAACAGAACGCCTCAGCTTTCTCCCGCGAAGCAGCTGGTAGTTTTGAACTGTTGACCTTGTAGTTTGCAGCCTGATTTGTAACCACTACGCTACCAGAGCTCCTTTAGATATATACTTAGGAATGGAATTGTTGAGTTCTCTGAAAAGTCTGCTATTGTGAGTTGGCACCAACAGAACAAAACACTGCTCATTCCCTGTGCCATCCTTACAAGTATTGCTATGTTTCAATCCATCATTGCTGTCACCCACTGTCTTTGAAAGTATTCCTCTTTTTCACCAACTCTTCACTTTGTCAAGCTTGATGTCTGTCTTCAGGGACTGGTCCCTTTCAAAAACATGTCCAATGTATGTGAGACAAAATGTCTTCATCACTTCTAAGAACCATTTTGGGAAGAATAAACAAGATGGCGGATCGGATGGATGTGTAGCAAAGAGCTCTGCCAACAACACCACAGAACACTTGACCAAGCAGGCTCAGGGGATGGTCCCAGAATTCTGAACCACATATAAAGGAATACTTAGAAGGTTGGAAGGCTCACAGCTGGGGGAATTTGTGGTAGAAGCAAGAAATCTATTGCTTTCTAGTCCGGGATGCTCGGCTGCTCCAGGAGCGGCCATCTTGGTGAGACCACGTGGGGGAAGGATCGGAGCGGCCACAGACGCCTGGCACAACCGCTAAAATAAAGGAAGAAGAGTGAAAAGGGAAGCCCATTTCCTGATCACATCTACCTGGAGGCATTCAGAAAGCATAAAAAATAGCAAAATACACACTCATCTAAGTATTAAGGCCAAAGATAGCCCCGGAAGATGCCCAAAAACCAGGAAGCAGATGACCATATCTGTACATGTCCAGAAACCAGATAAAGTGACTGAGACAAATAAACTGGAAGGAGACCTACACTCCATATTGGAAGATGGGCAGGCTTTGGAAATGCCTGAGAAGGAATTCAGATAAATGATTATAAAAGGTATCAAAACACTATACAATGCAGTTGAGAAAAATAAGAAAGAAGTCAGGAAAGTGCTACAGGAACAATCAAATAAGATAG